CCTCACGCAATGATGAGTGATGAGACAAGAGATAGATCACGCCGCAGTGGCGTAGCCAGAATTATGAAATGGGGGGTGTTTAAGTATAGATTAAAACCAAGTTTTTACAGTTTTTGTACATAAATAAATTTAGGGTACGGGACTTGACTTGTTGCACTAAAAATTATCGAAATATGCAGTCAAAATTGTCAAAATATGCTTAAATATATGCAGCTATATTTTTATATTATTTTTGAAAAATTCATAAAACATATTAAAATTTTGGTAATAAAATAAGTAGTTACATAAACATGATAAAAATAATTTATACACGGGCTTACTAATTTTAATATATTTTAGTATATTTTAATGTATTTCAGTATACCTATATTGATTAATATGATGGACAGAGGACACTATTGCATGTTTTGGACATTTTTAAACTATTGTGAAATAAAACAACTTGATTCTTAAAAATACTGGCATAAAATACTAGGTTAATAAATAAGTAATAACGAATAACGTGATATGCGAACACCTTGATAAACGAACGTATCTACTGATTTTCATTCCTTCGTACAATCTAGAATCTATAGATATTAATTATAGTTTTAAGTTTTAACACAGTCTTGTCACAAAGAGACTTATAAAATCTTACGTACCATATGCTAAAATAAGGCCAACCGTAGCCAAGCTCCACCAACAACTTTAACAGCCCTCCCAAACATTTACTAAAATGTTTAAGATTATTGAATTTTATAATAGGTATGGTTTTAAGCTTCGGCCTCCCCAAATCTCAAAATTAGTGCCAATTGTACCTAACCAAACATAATATTTTTAAAGATATTTTTCATTGTTATCCAAATATGATTGTTCCCGACAATTGTATGTACATTTAAGTTTAAAAAATGCAAAATATGCACAAATATGCGAAAAATCGCTCAAATGTACACTTTTCCTATAAATAATATGCAAAAATATGCAAATTTGAACTTTGTTTGATAAGACAAAAAAAATTAATAAGACAAATTTATAACTTATCTAAAATAACCTACGACCACTACAATAAAACATGCAAGCAGTCCCGAACCCTATAAACAATATATTTATTAGGGGGGAAATATCAATGGGGGGGGGGTGTTTAAACACCAAAACCCCTTCCCCCTGGCTACACCACTACCACGGCCGGTACTTCACAGACAACAAGAACATAAAGGAATGATTGATGGGAAACCAATTTATAAATACACGGGATGGATAAAGTATGTAGAATTTAGTTAAGGGGGAACTGCCCAATGGTTGATTCTATGTGGTACTCATGTGTAACTCCTGTGTAACTCACAGGCCTCACAATGAACACGGACAAAACTATTTTAACACGACAAAAACTTACGGACTAACTTAATTAACTAAGACAGGTAACGATGACGATGGTGGCTGGATTCTGTGGTAGCTCTGGTCGACCTAGGTGGCCTCTCACACACCACTCGGTGCTGGAGGACTTAGCGTGATGAGTATAGGGGACACAAGAAGACCTTGGCGGCTCTCAAACACATACTGGGTGCTGGCAGACTTACGCTTGTTGGCAGGACACAGATTGACTATTGTCTTAGCAGATTTCCGCTGACCAGGTTACACTCACAAATAGATCCGCAGAAACAGGTATATATATGAAATGCAAATAACTTACAAGATGTGGACTTGTGAATTGACGCCTTTATAAAGTTACTTTGTTTCAGCCAAAAAAAAATACACAATGTAATATAATATAATTGTATATCTAAGTGTAATCAAATAACTAGTGCTGCTACAATAACGAGCTAATAATATTGATATATAATAAGATAAACTCAATGAATCGACGCACTGCGAATTTGAGCATAGGTACATATAAAATAAACAAAGTAAAATATAAAATTTACTTAAAAAAAAAAATTCAGGAGAGTAGTAGAATACTGTATATATTTTAATTGTTGAGTGTCGGCCTTAAATTATCTTATCATATCGAGATTATGATACTGCGGAGTTTCGGTGTAATCGTCATATTGTTTCGACCATTCCACCCACTAGTTAACAAATATTTACTATTGAAAAAATCATCTTAAACTAAATTATTGTATCAAAAAGTAATTTTGAAAAAAACTTAAGAAGGTACTATATTATATGTTTAAGAATAATTGCCAATATAAAATATAGTAGGTACACGCGGTAGGTACAGCCATAACTTAAATATTTACCTACTCTATAAAAATAAAAATAATAATAACATATATTATAATATATATATAATAAAAAATACTAATAATAATCACTCTAGTGCAAGGTTAGGATAGGTGCTAACTAGTGCAAAAAAATTCAAGAACTTCAAAAAATGCTCTTTATTAGCACCTAGGTATATTTAAAAATTCCAAAAATCAGTATTTGAATAAATTAATTTTTAAATGAAAAAAATAGGAGTGAGCATGCTTGGTGAATCACAATATAATATGTATATTTAAAAATTACACCTTTGGCAAATTAATACAGGAACAAAAATTACCAGAGTTTAGACTTCTTAAGATAAACAATTTCAAAGATTTTGTACAATGTTAAATGTTTTTAACTCAAAAAGTATTTTACATCATACAGGTATTAGAATTTGGATTTAATATTGATTATTGTCCATTTTAAATTATGTATAAAATAACAGTGCATAGTCAAATATTTATCTTCTGACTTCTAAAACAGTAAATCATTTTTAATTCAAAATAAACAATGTTTTTGCAACACTACAATAATGCGCTGTTGGTATGACTTATCAAACAATTAAGTAATACTTGTTTACCTCCGGCATGGAAATTGGAATTCTATGGCAATTGCTTATATTTAACAAAAATAAGATTTTTATGAATAGATACCTACTTACTTTGCACACATTGAATGATATCAATAATAGACATAACCACGTTACTATCATTTTAAGTTTAGGTACTTATGACGTCTCACACTTAGTCGTTCACAAAAAATATTATAAATGGATTGACAAGAGTTTATTGAAATGTACAGTCTTAGTACTTTTTTATATAAACCACATATAATACCTCCCTACCTAAAATTGTACATATTTATTATTATTTGAAAAATAATTTCTGTACTTTATTAACTATTATTATGATACGCATTTAAAAAATATTGTTTAAATATTATTTTATGAAGTTCCCAAACGTTCACTAATTAAGTTTGGTGAATGAATACCGATATAAACAGTAAATCAACAGTTGGTCCGTTATAATTATACGTAACTATTAAAACAATTTGGGAGGTAGATACTCAATAATCATTATTTTGCACCATAATTAGTTTAATTATTTAATTATTGTGTAATATTTCTATACTTAAATAAAAACACAGAATAACTAATTACGAGGGACCATATGAAATGTTGGGTGATTCAATATACATATAAACACGCTCCTTTTACACACACAGCGACACGTGCTACACATAAAATATAATATTCAACACCTCTCCGATTAGACTTTTGGTAAAAATAACACAATCAATTATCAGCGGGACCAGACGACCCCGTTGTAAGGGTTGCGTAACCGCCAAATTTAAACACAAGTCTAAGACCCCTTCAAAATTCCTACGATCAAGACATTAGGTAAAAAAACACACGATAAATTACCAGTACATGTGTCGCACCTCACAAAATAAAATAAAATCATAAACACATCAATACTTTAACATTAGGTACGTATAATAGATGCATATCAAAAGAAGGGATTCCACAAAAATCACTCTATATAAGGATCATACAGAATCGACTTTTCGAGCTGTTTTTTACACAAGAAGATCCAATGCAAACGTCCACGCACTTCGACAATATTTTTTCAAATTTAAACTTCAAAGCGAATGCGTTCATATAATATGCATGTATATTGAGTTATTCCAACATTCGGTATGACTATTTAATTAGCTCGTATTACCAAACAAAACTCATTTATGTATGGGGTTCTGGTTAATTCGGGAGGTAGACCCTGTCTATATTATTAAAAATATTAATTATTATTATATTTATTAACCTAGCTAAATCAAAAATACAAAAATGTCAAAATAAAAATAAAAATAATATTATGTTAATATCAGGTTATTCGTTTGATTTTGGTATTTTTTAATAATTTAATAGATTTCTGTATTTTATTTTTTTGTTATTCCAATACAAACCTAATATTCTATCAGTTGAATTGGTACTCTGAAAGAAGTTTCACTTCATCCGTGGGTACTAGTTACCGCACAGTTTTTTTTTTTTTTATATGTATCTAACGTGTAATGAGACAACACCCACTGCTCTATATATTTCCGAATCATACCGTCTATACTCTATTCCAAATAAGACCAGGCTTCGGCGGCCGAGTTGTGCGCATGGACGTGTCTTTATTCCCGTGTCAGCGCCTGATACCCCGCAGTAGTGGGGTCAGTGTCTGACTGTCACTGAACGAAAACTGGTTACCACCGAAGCCTGATCTTATTTGGAATAGAGTATAGTAGTGCGTATCGTGTTAAATTTTACAAAGAAAACGCACGCAGTTTCGTATTATTACAATTATCGGCGGCCGCTACGTATGAGAGAGGGCGCAGGCGAGCACTATAGTTTGGAATACCCTGGCCACAAGTAAATAGTAATTAAATTTGCATATGAAAATGTCATAAATCGTTCTAACGCACCTGTTTTCATCGATATGGACCACTAATTCATATCGTGGTGGTTATCAAACATTTTATATACGCCAACGATATAGCCCTAGTTGCCCAAAGTGACAACTTCCATGATGTTGAAAGAGCAGTGGAGGAATCACTTAAGGTAATGTCTGATTACTATGATGAAAACTCCCTAAAACCAAACCCAACTAAAACACAAGTCTGTGCTTTTCGCCTTAAAAAACAGAGAGGCAGATCGAAAACTGAAAATTGAATGGCAAGGAACTGTATTAGAGAACTCTGCACACCCCACATACATAGGCGTTACGCTGGATCGATCCCTAACGTATAAACACCATTTTGATAAAACTAAGCAAAAAATTGCTGCAAGGAACAATATACTCCGGAGACTCATAGGCCATAGGGCCTCTGTGGGGGACCAACGCACATACATTACAAATATCTGCATTATCACTTTGTTTCTCTGCTGGAGAATTTGTCAGTAATGTGCGGAGTAGGTCCATCCACCCAAAACAAATAGATACCATACTCAATGAATCTAGCCGTTTAGTAACAGGTTGTCCAAGAACACTCCACTTCCTAAAATCTACCAACTCGCTTGGAATTTCCCCTCCGAACATCCACCGGGAGGATGCAGCAGACTGGGAAAAGACCAAAGCAGTAACTGATGTACGACACCCGCTACATGGACAAAATACACAAAATTTCAGACTTGAATCCAGGGAGAGCTTTCTTAAAACGACAAAACCTGTAAATAAACACGCCATGAAGAGGCACGAAGAGAAAGGTGGAAACTCTCTCTCACCAAGAAAAAAAAAGAGCTCGAAACAGCGGAACTGCTTTAATAGACTAGGTGGCACTGTGGACAAAAAATAATTTTATAGTGTTTTGTATGTTAATAAAATTTAATTGGTGTTATTAATTGGTTTAAATCGTGTTATAGCGTGCTATTAGTTGTGTTTAATATGGACTTAAGATTACCACCAGAGCTGAGTGTATCAGGTAACTATTCTAAGCTAATTGGAAAACGTGGTACCAGCAACGTACTATATGTTAGCAACTGAAAAATCGAGCAAAAATAGTGAAACGAGAATTTTTGTTGACATTGATAGGAGATGATGGTATAAACATTTATAACAAGTTAAAGATTGATACGATAACCAATGATAAAATCGGATTATGATAAAGCTAAAAAACTGTTTTTAATGCATAAACAGAAAGAAGAACAGACAATCCATCATTTTGTAACCGAATTAAAACTAAAAACTTTGAATTGTGAGTACCTATGGGGAACTATAAGAGTCAACTAGAAGGATCAGCTGGTTTTGCTAATGTTGGAGACCAAGGATTACACGAAAGATTTAATTGGTATTCTAGAATATCTGGAACTTGCTAAAGCAGTATTATTGATTAAACAAATTGAGAGTACTAAAGAGCAAGTACGACAAATAAATTATGACAATTAAGTGGAAGTTGATGTAATTCAATATGGAAATAAGCAAAAGAACTTCTCAAAGAAGAAAAATAATTATTCAAAATAAAATTAGTAGAATATAAATAATAGAATGAGAACGCTACCGGTTGAGCACCATTTGTAGAAGAATAAAAATAAAAGAAGGAGAACACTCCTTAAAGCTCCCCCACACACTGCAGTGGTGGAGGTAAAATTATTATGTCTCGGCGGTGCTGTCGCAATGGCGGTAAATTGTGTCCGGACCACGGTTATTTACATGTAAATAACCGTGGTCCGGACTCATTTTACCACCACCGCCACCGCTGCCATGTGTGGGGACCTTAATTTGGAGTTTTATTTGGTGTTAAGAGGACTCTACACTACTATTTGTGGTCTCCGTCTTACAAGTGCGTAACATACCAAATGTACACTCAGCAGATCAAATTTAACTCAGTTACTTTAAAAACTAGAATTAATCAACCTATTATGAAACTAGATGGTAAGAAAATTATCTGTGTTTTTATGTGGTGTTTTTTTACGATGATTCACTATTTAAGTGAGTTATGAGCATTTTTAATTTACACTACATTAAATACGAATAATTTCCTAAAAAATTAAACAATCGTAAAAAACCGAACACGGATGATGTTCTTACCATTCAGTTTCATAATAAGTCTGTTCACTGAAGTTTTTAAGTAACTGAGTTAAACGTGATCTGCTGAGCGTAAATTTGCCATGTTAGGAGAACTTGTAAGATCTCGACAGCAAATACCTGTGTAGCCGCTACACTGTAGCGTCCTCTTCATAAAAGCTGTATGTGGTTCACACGGTGTTTAAGTGGGTTATATAATCTAATCGCTTTGATGTAATCCGATGCACGTTATTATTTTTAGCTTATAATATCCTATTAGTCTTTAGAAGTAAACGAACAGGATAGAGGGACATTGATTGAGCTACCTAATACTAATATAGTAATATCATTATCCATCTGAATACTTTGGTTTAACTGAATACATTCAGATTCAGCCAAAGAATTATTTGCAGACTCTACAATGATACTGTCCATCAATAAAGGGTTTTGAACAAATAATGTCGGCACTGCTGTTGGAATAAGCTTTTTTCTTGATTCAACCATATGGTTTTTAAATGTAATGAGCATAATAGCTTGTAATTTTAATTCAAAACATCACAAAGTCTATGGTTGATAAATATCTTGCCTCACAATTTTAAAACCCAAGAGGCACACCTATAAAATATGTACAATGTCAACTCTATCTATATTATAACACATCTAACACAGTATAATATAAGACTCAAATTTATTACCATGATAATTTTTGAATATTTTAAAATATAGTCATATTTTTATAAATGTTCATACGTTGAATGATTTTTAGAAAATTTGAAAAATGATAGGTCACTACGTCTTTTTAACCTAATACTGGTGCAGTCTAACAAAGATCATCTGCAAAGTTCATACTTAAATTGTGTACAACAGACATAACAGTCAATTAAACTAAAAAAAAAAACACAAGAAACAAGAAACGACAACTCTGACAACAGCAGTGCTGTGGAATACCACTTAATTGCTTGAAAGTGATTACAGATTAATGATTATTGTAATGTTGTGATTGTCTGAATTCATCAGTATGGCTACAAACCACATAACAATAAAAAAAATAAGAAATATCTGTTGAATGGCAGCACTGCAGAATTCCAATATGTCGGACTGTTTTGAGACTATTTTTTCGATTCCATTCTGTTTATTCTGTGTGGTTCCCTCTATAGAATTTCCTAGCAGTAATCGAAATTTATTTCGATAACGGTTTCAAACCCTGGATGAAATTATGTTTATAGTGTTCATGAGACACTTAAACACGTTGCGATATACCTGTTGTTAAATCATTGTTTATCAGCGGAAATCGCCGTCGTGTACCAAGGTTTATAGATTATACAGGTTGCCTCATAGTCATGTAAACAAACTCGAACCCCCCGCACCATTCCCAGCCATGTGACGTCATCGTCGTACAAAATCGGCGGCCTGCCATATTCTATACGTATTCGCCATACAATTATTTACTCTTTTTCTTTCTGAAAATATATAGAAAGTTTATTTTTTCGAAATGTACATTTTAGAATATAACTAAAATTATTAATATTATAATATGATATAATATTATACGCTTTTTTATTTTTATACCTGATGAATTTTTTTCGAAACCTGTCATTAATATTATATGCACTTTTTTACAATAATAGTCGAGTAAAGAAGTTAGTCTAACTTATTTTTATTTTTATATTATCATTGTCAATAATATTTCATAATTTTTAGTTACCTATTTTATATATTTAATGATATTTTGTATAATATTATAAAGAATAAATTAATAAATAATTTCCAATATGATAATGAGTCTTATTTTAAAAGGAATTATATTCCTATAAATGTATTAAATGAATTAATAAACAAAATAAATTATAGAAAAATCTTTATATATTTTTAACAATAATAAAGAAAATAATCGCTTGCGAGTTGTGGTAATACATTTAATATATAAAATATGTATATAATAATAAAAACATTATTTTTAGAATAATAATTCATATTTTTTACTAACCAAAATAAGAAAAATCAGTCTTGGTATGGTAGGTACATTTTAATAAATTAATATAACAATGCACAAAATACCCATATTACTATAAATTGATATTTTTTTACAGGCTATGATTATAAAAAATGCAGTCAAAGTATAATATATTTAAATTTGTATTACATAAAAATGCTAATTTCAAAATGCTAATAATAACACAAATTATTTTAAGGGAGGATGTTAAACATAAACATAATTATAATGAGTTAACATATTTTTCAAGAAATTAAATGATAAAAAAATTCAATCAAAATAAAGTATTTACATTTCAATTTGTTTGCTTAATAAATAATAATATGAATGTGTTAATGACTCTGTAATAAAAAAAAATTCAGTCGCAAGATGCCCTATGTCATCAGTCTTCTAAATTTCTGCAATTTTTGTAGTTGTGCTTTTGCTTTTTGTTTTTTTTTTAATAAAACTAATAAATTTTCTGATAAAACAGGTCCTTTGGAAACCTAAATATAAGACATATTTTTAAACCATAAAATTAGATGAACTATAGGTCTAGTATAGGGAAATTTAAAAAGTAGTATATTAATTTCATATTTCAAATATAAAGTAACTTAATTACATTTAAGTTTAAGCTTACATTTCAGAAAAGTACCTATAAGTAATTGTAATTTTATTACTTTTGAAGTATTTTGCTCAAGATTGGCTAGGTCTACACAAAAATTTATTTAAGGTATACATTGAAATTAATTATAATATATAATTTAGACAACTAATTGTACACCGTGTACACTAAAATAGTTAAATATTTATATATTTTGGTAATAGGGGTTTCTACTGAAGCTGTATTAAAATAAACACTAAACAGCCATTAAAAATTACCTCAAAACAAATGAATTATGAGCAAAAAAGTGAATAAACATTTAATTTAAGTAATAATATTATATATTCAACTATGATATTATAAACTTTAAATTTATAAATTTGGTAAATACCTATTGATTTCATAATACACTCAAAAAATGTATTAATTTCATTGTATTTGCCAAGTTTTTTTAAATTAATCAAAGTTGGTGAACTTTGATTGACTGTAATTATGTTATTATTGTTATAATAGCTAGATTGAATAAAGTAATAATATAAAAATCAAATGTATTTACCTGTGGAATGAAATATCAGTTCTCCCTTCATTTTTCGATTTTGCAGAATAATTAACGCAAGTAGATACCGCGCAAACAGAACCACCTTAAGGTTTATTTATTTCATTCGTAGCCATAATTATTCAAATTAAAACACTATTTATTTAAATAAATAAACGAAACGAAAGTACGAAACTACATAAAAACATAATATGAAACACTTGTCATTGTTTATAGTTTGTACGACGATGACGTCACAGCGCCATTTTCTCCCACTCCTGTTTTTTCGATATTTTCAAAATGAGGCAACCTGTATAATCTATAAACCTTGGTCGTGTACTACCACAGATTGAATGAAAACAGTTGGTGCACTTTAATGTAAACAAAACTGATTGATACAATCTCTGCCTGGATCTCAGCCGAAATCACTGCGACCATGACTTCAACAGATAGAAATTATTTAAGAGGACGTGTCACCCAAAAAAATCACTCGAAAAATTCCTTTAAAAACATGTTTGCGCGTTCCAATAATATGGGTTACTGAGTGGTTTTATCATAAAAACACCTATGAA